GTCCTGGAACCCACCACCTAGGAGCCAGGTGGTCAGTTCCCAGCTGCAGGGTCAGAGACACCATGGCCCTGGAGCCCCACTCATGCTCCAGACCCTGGGGCAAGGTAGGCCAGGGGCTTCTGACCTGCACAGGTGAGAATGGGCCATCCCCAGGAAAGACCATTCTGTATTTTTCTGTCCCGTCTCCTTAGAATTGAACCTTTTTGAGGGCAGGTCCTTGTCTTTGTATGTTTTGTCCCCAGCCCCGCCTCCCAGGGGCCGTCAATAAATGTGATGATGAGGATGACGATGCTGCCCGACTCCTCTCTGCTCCCTCAACCAGCCACTCTGCTGTTGCAGCCTCTACATCTCAGCTCCTGCGCTTCCTACTCTTGAGATGCCCTCCTTTCCTCTCTGCCCATCCAAGGTCCAGCTGTCCTTCAGGTCCAGCACTGCTCCTGCCTCTTCCATGAAGCCAACTCTTAACTTTTGTGCACTTCTGGCCAGAAGCACACTCTGCTTCTTCACTGTTCTCCAATTGCCTCACCTGTATGCAACTTCTTTTCCTGGGTCGCCTGTAAGCCCAATCAGGATGGTACCTGCTCCTTCTCTGGCATGCCAAATGGCCACCCCCACTGAGTGATGGAAGGGGCTCTATAGTGCTGAAGGTATCTATCTTCAGCTAGGGTAAACCCTAGGTGGCCAACTTGGCTGATGAGTATGGGATAAGAAGATGGGAGAGCAGAAACATGCCTGGAATTAGTTTAGGTCAAGCCTGATGAAGTGAAGTTTGGCAGGGAGGCGTGAAAGGCCTTACAAATAAGAGGGGACAGTCAGAGTGCAGTAGAAGCAAATGTGATTTTGGTCCATGTTACTAGGAATATAATTATCTAGAAAGAGGGAAGTGTTGGTTTGGTTCAACTTTTCACTGAAATTTTAGTTGAGATCCCTAAAACAGCACCTTGAGAGTAATAAAAGGATTGGGACTAGTCCCATGTGGAACAATTGAGAGATCCATGTAGAGCCAGAGATCAAAGGGTGGAAACCACAAGGAGCCAGATAGTCCCCATCTCTAAAGTGTGAACTGCACCTCAGTGACTAATCTTTTGAGATGAAGGCAACAGTTGGAGGGACTGGCCCATTTGAGCTTTTGAGAGCCCTTCACATAGGGGCAGTGGTCAAAGAAAGCATTAAGAGTGCCCACTTGAGACCCTCCATCCACATTAGCTTTGGTTCTCCTACTCTCCTCACTGTTAGCACTTGAGCTGCTAGAGGCTGAGGGACACTGAAACCTGCCTGAGAGAACAGAACAGCTCTGGAAGACCTGAATTTTAAGCACAACCTGGGGCAGGCTGGGTCCTTCTTGCCCTGGCCTCCCATTCTGGATCCACGTTTCCAGGCAGTTTGTTTTTAATTAAAAGGAGAAAAGGGGCCAAGATTGGGCACGTCTGAGCCTTTGTCCACTACCATGAATTGGGAAGCAGCCTCAAGAAGACAAGAGTTCAGCCTCCCCTCCCCAGGGCAGGTAAGAAGAGAAAGGAACAACCCAGGCAATGGGGAGACAGGAAAGGAAGTGTTACAATGGAACCGTATGGGTTCCTTCAAAAGTCTTTACCTACCTCAGAAAACTGACTGTATTAGAGGGGATAGGGACTGAGGCCCCTTGATGTTCAGCTCCAGCCTGAAAAAGACCAAGGCAGATGGGTACAAATACTATTAGAGTGGAGTGGGCCTGGTTCTGGGCCATGGAAAAGGATTAGAATTAGAAAGTTTATAAACTTCATTAACTTCCCTGCTGGAAGATGCATGGAGTGTTCTGGAATATTGCAGGGCTGTCTTCCTGTTTGAAACCTTCTGGAACTTTCTGTTCCCAGGTTCTGGGGCTATAGGAATGTTCCTGGCTGTAATCTTCTGTGAGAGAGAATAAACTTAAGTGTCTATATCAAGAAGCCCATGAGTAAGGTACCACCTATTACAGACCACCAGTGCTTTTACAAACCAAAAATGAAAAGTTGTCCTAATAACAAAACTCTCATTCCTTTTTGATAAAAATAGAGTTCCTACCTCTCAAGAAAGTCTGTTATGTACACCTCCTTGTTTGGGTATCGCTAGCTTCTTCTTGTTTCCTTAAGCTTCTCTCCTTGTTTTCCAAATATGAAACATAAAATTAAATGTGCTTTCTTTTTTTGCCAATCAAGACTTACTGACCTAAGCAGGTCTGAACTAGAGTGGGCTCAAATCTTTACCACTGAATCATGTGGTCACTGCAAAGCATGGCTAGGAACTTGCCCCTGACTGCTAAGGTTAGAGAATTGAGTGGTTTCCAAGAGACCAACCTGGACTAGCTGTGGGTTTACCCCAATTAATACAAAAATTGTACACAAAAGACTTGAGTGCAGGAATTTGTTAGTAGTATTCTGCAGAGGGAGGACCTCTGGCTTTGTCTAGGACTGCTATAGACCTCTTTAAAGATTCTTCTTGTCCTACATGAAAATAAGATTTACACTCTGCCTCCCTGCATAAAGTGTAAACTCTTACATATGCTGTAAACTCAAATGCCTATAGGGGCCAGGAGATCAGAGGTGCAAAGCAGTCCATTTCCACAAAGAATTACACCCTCTCACATTTTTTCTGGAAATGCATGGTCCTTTTTCAAAATTTCTCCTTTTGATAGACATGGGATAGAGATATTTCTCTACTGTGAGCAAAATGGTGCAAGTATGTGTATCAAGGTCTTTTATCCTTTACCTCTGATGGTGGGAGTGCAGCGGAATGTAGCGAAATATCCTATCCAAAAGGCAGGTGTTACAGCTTCTCCCAGACACTTATGCAGTTATCTGAGTGGGCTCAATGATAGCACATTTTCTCATTTTTTTGAGAAGTCAGAAATCTATATTTTTATGCAAAGTCCCCTCAGTTATGAATGTTGGCTAAAGTTATTTTAAGGCACTGTGCCAGCTACAGCCAAACACTATTGTGAACTATGAATTTTGGTCTGTTCTTGGTTGTTCTGAAATAGGCCTTCATTAGTCTAGTAGCAGTCCCCTCCCAGGGCCGAAAGTGTGAATGCTGAAGAGGCAAAGGCAGGTCCGGAGGGCCAACCTACCTCAAGACTAGTGACAGGACCCCAGGTTTGGACAGCCTTAAGAGAATGGCATGATGGCTAGATGCATAGAGACACTATGGCATAACAACACATGGTGAAGGTGAGTTCTCTGCACTGGCTTCTTGGGGATAAGCATACTGAGCATTCTCAGCATATGCAAGTTTATGAAATCCAAACGCAGGTCTTAACTATCATCCTTACCACACTAACAGGACCCTCAGCTGCTCTCTCTGTACAAACCCTATGGCTGCTAGGGCTACAAGCTGGGCCTGAGAGCAGGCAAGGCAGGCTTTGTCCTATGACCTTTACCACAGGTGGGGTAGCAGTATGATTTCATCACAGGGCTGAGGAACTGAGAAGCAGCAAAGGTCAGGAGAGAGCCTACTTTTCCAGTGCACTGAATTTTTTCTTCTTTTTTTAAAATCCTCACCTGAGGATGTGTTTTTCCCCATTTATCTTCAGATAGAGTAGGGGGAGAGAGAGAGAGAGATGAAGACGTGAGAGGCACACATTGACCAGTTGCCTCCCACACGGCCAGGGCTGGGGACCAAACCACAACCGAGGTACATGCCTTTGACTGGAATTGAACCCACGATTCTGGTCCGTGGACCGATGCTCCAACCGCTGAGCCAAAGTGGCCAGGGCTCTACTGTACTGAATTTAAGAGAGACTGAAATGAAGTAGAATCACCACTTACCAGTTGTCCCTTCTCTCAGCATCTCTTCATGAGATCAGTGACCATCAGGAAGCCCAAAGGTCCAAGACATAGCCTCCTTTACCTCACCATTTGCCCAAAAGGGAATTTGGTGGCCACTCATATGGGCTTCACCCCTGGTGCCTCAGCCCGTGGCTGTTGTGTACATATGTGTATTTATATATATGTGTATATACACACACACACATTTTTTTTTTTCCTAATGATGACCAAATGGACAACTCATTGACTTAAGGTAGGCTATTCTTATTTGTTTTGGCTCATGCTGGAACCATTATAATGGGCAAGGTACATCCTGTGAACAAAATGTCAGAACCTCAGAAGGAAGCGAGACATCCTACTTTCTCAGCACTGGGATGGGTAAAGGATTTCACTCAGCAATAAATAAAGGGCAACAGAGGTAAAAGCAGTTTGGCTCAGGAGAAATAAAGTCCTCATCAAGTCCAGGGACAATATCACAATCGACTAGACACATACACCTTTGATCCTGTCTTGTCTCCCTATGTAGAACCTGTAGTGCTGCTCACTCAGCTCTGTAATATACTTGCAAGCCCATCCCCATCCTAATGAGCATAGCCTGGGACAAGCTGGGCCCCGCTTATCCATCTCCCATCACAAAGGGACAAAAGTTGAGCATGTCTGAGCCTGGTTCAGCCTCTCCTCCCCAGGGCAGGAACGGAGAAATGTTACCATGGGGACAAGGTAACGTTGGAGGGGGGGTCCCTCAAAAAGCCACCCACACATGAAAAGCTCAGACTCAGTTTAGGGAGTTCTCTCAGATATCAGACCTGGCCTAAAAAACCCTGAGGCAAGCAGAATGGCACTGTGAGTACTTTAATAGTTCTAGGCCTAAGAAGCTGAGTTAGATGGTTAATAAATTTTATTGACTGCCCTGCATGAAATATTTTGGAATGGTTTGGAAGTTTAACATAGTCTGGACCCCTCCACCCTCACTGGGCACCTTCTTTTTTTTTTTTTATCCTCACCCGAGGACACTTTTCCACTTTTTGTTCAGATAGAGTAGGAGGGAGAGAGAGAGAGAGAAACATCGATGTGAAAGGGACACATTGAGTGGCTGCCACCAACACAATCCAACCAGGGTGGGGGACAAACTACAACTGTGGTACATGCCCTTATCGGGAACCGAACCCGTGTCTCCCTGGACCGCAGGCCGATGCTCTAACCACTGAGCCAAATTGGCCAGGGCAGGAACCTTCTTAACTTTCTATCCATTTCCATGTTCTGGGGCCCCAGGAAATGTTTTTGACTGTGATCGTCACAGAAAGCACACTTGAAAGGTCTATGTCAAGAAGCCCATGCAAAAGGTCCCAGCTATTACAGACCACTAGGGCTTTTCCAAACAAGACCCAAAAGAACTCCAACTCCTTTTGATAGAATCTTGCCCCAAGGACATTGTTATGCCCCATCTCTTTGACTGAGAATCACTAGCTTCTGTACATTTTACTAAGCTTCACTTCACGTGTTATATTTGAAAAAGACTCTCCCTCGTTTTTCAAATATGAATATAATAACACTAAATGTTCTTTTTCAAAGTACATATGCCCCACCCCCAAAATCAAGGCTCACTGAGAACTGTGGACCTGAACCAGGGTCGACTCAAATCTTTATTATTGAACCATGTGGTCACTACAAAGCCATGACTAAGGGTTTGCCCCTGACCTCTAAGGCTAAAGAGAATCAGAGAGACCAAGTTGAAATAGCTTTGGTTTATCCCAATTTATACAAGGATTTCACAAGAGTGTGAATGCAAGACTTGGTATTAATATACCAAAGCACCTCTGGCTTTGTTTAGACTCTAGACTTAGGCTGGTACCCTTGTGGTAGATCTCTTGCAAAGGTTTTCCTATCCCACAGCTTTACACTCAGCCCCAGTTCATAAATATTTGAGCACTGACAATCTCACAGCCATGCATTCCCTATGTGCGGTGACTGGGGATTAAGAGAGCATGACTATTACCACTCTAGCCAAGTGATGACTGACCTACTGTTTAGCAATTAAAGACAAAAAAAAGCCTCAGGCAGTTCTAAACAAGGAACCAAGTTTCCACCACAGGCCCCCTGATCCTGAGTAGTCCCAACTCCAAACTCCCAAAATTTCCTACAGTCTCAAGCAACCATGTTTCCAGGATTTAGCTTGTAGGGCCTGCAATAATCCCTGCAAGCTAAACAGGATAGGCCACACTCAGGGGAACTCTGTCTGGGAGAGGACAGGCTGCATCATTTGCAAAAAGGCTGGCTGGTAAGGGGATAACCAGGTGACAGGCACACTGTCCCAAGGATAAACTTGACTCTACTAGCATGTTTTAACCACTGAGCCCATTAGAACTATGGATAATAAAGTGTGACAGACTTCAAGAGAGCAAATCACTTGCTCTCTGCCATCATGCCCATAGAGAAACTTCTCCAAGGTCATACATTAGATATGTACGGGCACAGGTACACTCATTCCTTATGCTTGATGACTTTGCTTTCCCACTCCCTCATGCCACCAATGGAAAGGAGTGGGGTTTGGGGCTGACCATAGAATAGCAAGGTTTCCACATACATTTTTAGCCTATATCAGGTCTCACCTGTGGCTTGGGAACTCACAGAAAGACAAGGTTGTACAACCTCAGAATTTTTCTTTTAGCAGCCAACAATTGGTCACATTGCACGTTTCAAGGTTACAGAGCCCCATGGCACAAACATGGGGCAGGAGCACACAATTCTTGCTCAGAGCTTTACAATAAAGCCAGAGCAAGTGTTCCAGAAGTTGACATCAGGAAGGCAACTCTGGAAGCAGGCACCCAAAAGATTCCAGAAAACCCTTCCCTCTCGGGCTTTCAGAGCTCTTCATTTTGGGGCCTCCTTCTTGGGCATCGAAAAGCCTCCTTTTCTGGACCGCAGGGAGAGGGATGTGCAGGTCAACGGCTAAGCTGGGCGGGCGGGGAAGAGCGGTTCCTTCGGACCCCAGCAGAGGTAGACTCTGGAAAGCGAAGGGTTCAAGACAGGAAAGGCCATTTTCTGGGGTCTGATCCCCTTCCCTTCTCTCTCCAATTAAAAGCGAATGCCCATTAGGATGAAGATTGTGAGGAGAAAGAAGACTAAAGTGGTGTCTCGGATCTCGTCCCAGTGGAAGCCTTTCTTAGCCCGATCCTCCTGCTGCTTGCGAAGGGCCTCGCGCCGGGCCCTCTGGCGGCGTTCCCGCTCGAGCTGTTCTCCGTAATGCGCCTGGTAGAAGGCGTCAAAGTTGAACATGGTGCGGTCCGCGTCCGGCGCGGCCTTACCACGGCCGTGGGTACGAGGGGCGGCCGGCGGGCTGCGAGGCGGGCCGGATTCCGCTGAGGGAGTCGTGGAGGGACGGGCGCCAGGTCCGCGCAGGTCCAAGTCGCTGAGCAGGCCGCGGTCATACTTGCGGCGCAGGGTGGCACTACCCAGCACCACGTATGCCTGGGCGATGCGCGTAAAGCGCTCGGCAGCCTCGGCGCTCCCGGAGTTGCGGTCCGGGTGGTAGAGGAAGCTTTGCCGGTAATAGGCAGCCTTGATTTGGGCCTGCGTGGCCGTGGAGGGGACGCCGAGAAGCTCATACAGCGCCGTGCGCGAGTACGGGCCGTCGCCCTGGGAATAAGTCCTCGCTTCTAGGACCAAGCACGATACTCGGTTTTGTGGAGGGCCCCGAGTCCGCCACAACCTCCACAGTAACAGCCGCGGCCACCTCAGACCGGACTTGGCTGCCATCTTGAATGGCTGTGCGGAAGTGCAAAGATTAACTGGCCAATGGGAGGCGTGCGTTGCTCGCAGCTCTTCGGCCCAGTAGCCAATCGAGTAAAAAAGAAGGCGAGGAGAGGGGGGTGGAGCATGCGTATTACGAGGCGGGCGCAGCGTTGCTGATATAAAAGCCGGACGCGAGGCATACCCTGCCTTGTAGTGCAGCTGAGGCGAGGCTATGGCGAGTCGCGGACATAGACCGGAGCACGGCGGGCCCCCAGAGCTGGTGAGCTTTGTGGCCCTCGGGTACCAGTTGTCTTGTAGAATTTCTGCGTTTTGATTTCTACACCCAACTGGCCTTTTTTTTCTTTTCCGCAGTTTTATAACAAGAATGAAGCACGGAAATACATGCGCAAGTAAGGGAGCAGATATTGAGTGGTTAGAGGGTTGGGGAACCCACAGGTTACCCTGATTTGGGGCATTGCTTGGAAAGCAAGCAGAATTTGGGGGGCGGAGGGTTGAGTGGGAGGAAGGGACCTGGGTTGATCCTATTTTTTACACTGGCAAAGTCAACTTTAGTTAAATCTCTGAACTATCTGGGCCTCAGTTACCTGAGCATTAATACGGGAGTGATCATATTTTTCTCTGGATTGTTTTCAGAGTTTATTGTGACACCTTGTTTTGAACATGTGGTAACATAGGCAGGAGGCTTTGGATCTGTATAAGGGGTTAGTGCTATTGAGGGAAAGGAAATAATATTCATGAATGTTTACTGTGTGCTCCTGTTTGTATTATCTCACTAAATCCTTTTTTCAGTTGTTGGTGTAGTATCTGAATTTCATAGAGGGTAGTTAAGTCTATAACTGCAAAGTCAATTAACAGGTGAAGGCTAGAGCAGAGACTTCCAGACTTTCCTTTCTGTAGGAAACTCTACATATACTTGATCTTGGGAAAGCCCCAGGATATTATAGACCTATTCTGTGCAATGGAAAGCAGTCGCCATCAGCCATCTATAGAAATGTGTTTAGTCTGAATTACTTCGAATGAAGAAAATGTAAAATATTTTATTGATAATTTTTCATATTGGTTATGTGTTGAAACAGTTTGAGCATATTGAGTTAAATAAAATATATTATTGCATTTGGTTAACTATCACAGTTAATTTTCCATATTTAATTTCATTTTAATTGTGGCTATTAGAAAGTCATGTGTGGCTTGCATTATATTTCTCGTGGACAGCACTACTATAGATTTTTGTTGGCACGTTGTTGATTCTTATATCTGAGGGTAACTATGGTGGGTAATTCTTCCAGAAAATGTGTTCTTGAGTAATGCAACATCAAAGCCTGATAGATTTGAAAATACTCAATGGTTGGTCATTAGTTAAGTGATTTGTTATTAGCTTTGCATCAGGTACAGTTAGAATTTGTGTCACAACAAAATAACACGTCCCTGTGTTATATGGACATTTGGGGTTACTTTTAAATAGTTGTAGTTGAATTTGTTGACCAGGAAAGAGCACCTTGTTTTTTCTTGTACTTTGGGGTTTTTTGTTTGTTTGTGTTTTGGTCTGGGTGTAGTTTTAGCCCAGAACTCACTTGTTTGTATTTCTGCCTTCCTAGCTCTAGGATGATTGATGTCCAGACCAAGATGGCAGGGCGAGCATTGGAGCTCCTTGATCTGCCTGAGGATAAACCCTGTTTCCTATTGGATGTTGGGTGAGATCCTGGGGCCCAGTCAGATTGCCCAGGTTCTGGGACATCTTTACTATTCACACTGTTGAGTCTCTGATTATATCTTTCAGCTGTGGTACTGGGCTGAGTGGAGATTATCTCTCTGATGAGGGGCACTATTGGGTGGGCATCGACATCAGCCCTGACATGCTGGGTAAGTATGTGGTATTTAGCACTGGGATGGACTACCCACATGAGTGTGGAGCAGCTATGCCCATCGTGTTCCCCTCACTCTTCTCCCATGTAGATGCAGCCTTGGACCGAGAAGCACAAGGAGACCTACTTCTGGGGGATATGGGCCAAGGCATCCCCTTCAAACCGGGATCCTTTGATGGTTGTATCAGGTAAGATTCTTCATGTTTTGCTTTTAGTCCTGCAGGATAGCGCTTCCCATACATGGCTTTGCAACAGTCACATGGGAAATTTAAAGATATACCTCCCATGGGATTTTTGGACTAATAAGGTCAGAGGAAGACCCAAAACTAAGTAGTTTTTTGTATTTCAAACCTGTCTGCTTTGAGAGGGGAGGAGTGGTCTTTTGAGCCACTAGCAGCCATCTTGTGAGCCCCTGCCAGCCATCTTGTGAGCCCCTGCCGCCATCTTGTGAGCCCCTGCCGCCATCTTGTTGCCTTTTGAAGAACTCTGATGAGGAGTTTCCTAGGCTGCTCTAATCTCTTCAGCAACTTAGGAGTCCTTTCTGGGGCGTCAGCCTTGAGCATGTACATAGTACTTTAACAGCAGAACGTAGACTGTTGATGTTACTATTAAAAAATATAAAGTTCTTTGTTTTCTGTGGTAGGTTTTGTTTAGTATTTGGTAAGTGGTTTGTTGGTGGAATGGAGGCAGGGAATAGGAGGGGAAGTCCTAGTTTAATCATTAACTGGTGGAGACCTGTGATGTATGTTGAACAGTAAGGATCTGGGTGAGAGAAAATTTGGATTGGACGATTTTCTTCTGGAATAAGGGGTTAGATTACATCTGGGAACAAGATTGGGGGAAAAAGACATTTCAAGGATAGCAATTGTTTTTTAGTAATGATTGGGTGATGTGTTCGAAATTGTGGAAAACCAAAGGCCAGAGATATGTCTGTATGTTTTAGTAGTAAATAGCCATTTTTAGTTTGTTTTTAAGAGGCAAGATGGTGTGGCAGGCTTTCCTTTTGTTTAACATTTGTTATATGTAAGACATTGTACAGGGTGCTGTGGAGTTTGGAAATAAAATACAATTCCTGTTTTTAAGACTCCGTGGTTAATTAGCTGCTAAAAGATATGGACCAGGTTAAACACAAGGTGAGTGTGGGGTGTGCACAGGGGAGTCATGGGACCACCTGAGTTGTGAAGAGAAGCAAGAGAGCACAGGAAAACCCTGGCCAGTGTGGCTCAGTTGTTTGGAATGTCATCCTGTACACCAAAAGGTAGCAGGTTTGATCCCAGGTCAGGGCAAGTTTGGGATGGGAGGCAACTGATCAGTGTTTTCTCTCTTCGTCCCTCCCTCCCTCTCCTTTCCTCTTTCTAGAATCAATTTAAAAAACAAAACTAAAAAGAACACAGGAAAGCCTTGAGAAAGAGAGGGGCCGGGGTTGGGCCTTAAAGTCTGGGCGGAATTTGGATAGTCAAGGAGAGGGTAAAGGAATAGTGTGAGAAAAGGCACAGAAGTGGATGGGAAAGGAATCTGATAGATCGTAGGGATGAATGAAAGATTTCATGGAAGTTGAGGTTGTGTGGAGTTGGGTCCTAGAAGGTTTTTTTTAAAACTCTATCCTAAGAAATTTGGGCTTTATTCAGTAGTTGATAGGGAGCTGGGGAGGGATAACATAAAATCTTTGTTTTAGGAAGATTATTTAGAAGAGAGGAGAGTTATGTTGTTGAAACAATTGAGATGGCAATAAGTGCTGACCTAGGAGAATGGTGGAGGAGAATAAAAGCTTAGAGAGGCAGGGGGACAAATCAGCAGGGTTTGGGGTTCTGTGAATGGGTTGGGTATTCATAGCACTGAGGAAGGGAATGCCAGAAAGGAGGACATAGTAGCTGCTTGAAAATTTAAATCTGAGGATTACCGAGACACTTGACAGGTACAGTTGAAGGAACTGATTTTGGAAGAGAATGAGTGAATGGCTTTGTAAGTACTGTAAAAGATATTTCCTTTGCTTTGGAGTAAGGAAATGTGAAGGGGTGGGTGGGTAGGTGGCAGAGATAGCCTTGATATGGTGAATAATTTTGAACTTGAGATGGATGTAGAAAAAGGTTGAGAAAATGTTTTTTAGGACTGACTGCAAGGAAATTAACACTGACCTTCTGTATATCCTGTTTGGTCCAGTGTTGTAGAATAGTGACCTGAAGTGGACCTGCATATGCCAATAAAGGGAGTGGGCAGGAGGGTTTTACCTGGAGATCAAGGATGTGTGGGGTATGAGTCCTGAAGAGGCATGGGTGAGCAGTGTGTGCACTTTCCTGACTAGGTCTCTCCGTTTTTTTTAGCATTTCTGCTGTGCAGTGGCTCTGTAATGCTAACAAGAAGTCTGACATTCCTGCCAAGCGCCTGTACTGCTTTTTTTCTTCTCTTTATTCTGTGCTGGTGAGTATAAAATCTCCCTATCTGGGTTGGCTGCCTATCCCTTCCTTGCCCTGCAGGTAGAGTGATGAAGTAGAGGAGTTCCATGGCAGGGCTATTCAAATGGGACTGCATGGGGTGGCAGGGCCTTATTGTGATCCTCAGCCTAAATAGAAAGTTTTAGTGGGCTAACACTCTAATGAAATGCAAAAGATGCTGATGTCATCTGGCTGGCGTGGTGAGCGTTGACCCATGCACCAGGAGGTCGCTGGTTCGATTCCTGGTCAGGACACATGCCCAGGTTGTGGGCCCAGTCCCCATTGAGGGGCATGCAGGAGGCGGCCAATTGATGTTCTCTCTCATCAGTGTTTCTATCTCTCCTCACTTCCTCTCTCTCTAAAAATCAATAAAGGGAAAAAAAATAAAAGATGCTGATGTCAAAATCTTAGACGAATTACAATTCCTGTGTTCACTGTGCTGAATTTTATCAGAAGTTGGTTTGGGGACATAGACTCCACAGAATGAGGACAGGGACATCGTGTCTAGGACACACAAAGCATACCTTTCAGAGTTCCTACATCCTCCAATTCACACCCCTTCCTCCTCCTCCCATTGCTGATGCTCAGATGGGGATCAGGATGGTTATTTACCACTGAGAGCCTTTATTAACTTTTATTTTTATAACTAAGGGTGTTGATTTCCATTGCTTACTTGGGTTAGATGATAGTTTGAGATTCTAAGTCCTAAAAATGAGTTCTTTTACTTTTTTCGAAGGATTTGGGTGTTTCTTGGTCTCCTTAATCTCCCCACCTCATCCTAGGGTGGGTTGTTCCTGAACACGGCAGGCTGATCTTGTGCATTATGTGATTTCTCTGCTGTTTATGCACTGAGGTTAATTTTGAAGTTCTGAGGGCCTTTGTGTTTGCCTTTCTTCTGAGATGTTCTTTCCTTATATGTTTGACCAACTCCTCACTATATTCAGGTCTCTGCTCAAATGTCCCTCCAAGAGGGGCCTGCCTTGAACCAGAAGTAAACTCAACAGTCTCTTGTTACTCACCATCTCTTTGTCCTAATTCTTTTTGGCTCTTAATCACTACTGTAAATTAGCTGTCTCCTCTACTAAAATGTGAGTTCCAAAAGTTCAGAGGAGAGGCTCTCTCTTTTGTTCATAGCTGTATCCCCAGCCCTAAGGACAGTGCCTTGCACATAATGGGAACTCAAATATCAGCGAGTAAGGAAGGGATGAGTGTCTGGGTCCTGACCTCATGGGATATTTGTAAGATAGTGAATGTTTCTGTTTCTTGCAGGTTCGTGGAGCCCGAGCTGTTCTGCAGCTGTACCCTGAGAACTCCGAGCAGGTGAGTCTCTTGGCTACTGGAAGTGCAGGGAAGGGGGAGGGGCCCAGAACAGGTAAACTGTTTTTGTTCTGCTCCTTACTCACGTGCCCTCCTATTAATGGGGAGTGACAAAACAGGCAACCTTATGCTGATTGATGGGAAAGGAGAGAATGAGTACCTGAGAGTGGTTCCTGTGGCCTCTGGTGACATGCTTTATGACCTGATATAAGGAGGAGTAGTATCAGGGTGGGGTGGGGTAGAGTGGTTGTCTTCCCTTGACAGATAAGATGGTATTACAGTTAATGTGATATATTAACTGATTTCCATAACCAAATATATAAATGGGGATGGGGTATGTATTGAGAGAACATAAACAGTTGTCTGTTCTATGGAGTGTAATGCAATACAAAGGAGAAATGTGGAGGTCGGAGTTACAGACCTTGAAAGACAAGCTGTGAGCTGTTCCTGACTAATACCATGAATGAGTCTGCCTCCCATTTGTTGGCCATTCATTTCCTGTAATTTGAGTGGGTAGATGGGTCCCTGGGCTAGAAAGTGAGAATTGCTTGTTCTGTAATTCCCCTGAGGGAGTTGTATGCCATGGCTGGTTCTATCCTGCACTTTCCTTTATGTGGCTTTTGGGGACTCAGAATTGGGAACGGTTTGATAAAGAAGACCATGCCCAGTCATTGTGGCTCAGTGGATTTAGCATCGTGGACTGAGAGGTCCTGGTTCGAATCTGAGTCAGGGCACATGACCAGGTTGTGGGCTGGATCCCCAGTAGGGGGGCATGCAGGAGGCAGCTGATCCATGTATATTTCTCACATTGATGTTTCTATCTCTCTCCCTTTCTCTTAAAAAAAAAAATCAATAAAAGTATATTTAAAAAAATAAAGAAGGCCTTTAATTCTTCCAGTCAAAGTCCATCCTGGAATCAGACTGGCTTAAAGGGAGTGAGGGAAAGCAGTGTGCTCCCCCAGCCTCTCTGGGACTCACCAATGTTCTCTTTTTAGTTGGAGCTGATTACAACCCAGGCCATCAAGGCTGGCTTCACTGGTGGTGTGGTGGTGGACTACCCCAACAGTGCCAAAGCAAAGAAGTGAGTGCTGGGGGCCAGTGTGGGATAGAGGGTAGTGGTGTGGATCAGAGTAGTGCTGAGTTGGGGCTCCAAGGCCCAGGCAGGAGGCACCTGTTTATGGAAGGGAAGGGAAGGACTTGTTTTGCCCTACAAGGCTTTATGAGTCCTTGCATTTTACTTGTTTCAGGTTCTACCTCTGTTTGTTTTCTGGACCATCAAGCTTTCTGCCAAAGGTGAGGGACCCTGAGTTTTTAGGCCCATGTCTTTTGGGTCCCCTTCTTTGAGGCTGGGCCTAGTACCTGTCGAAAGAGCTTAGGCCTGGTGGGTGCCCATGCTAGAGGAGCTGGGTTGAGAGATCTTCCGGATGATCTAAAAGCCCTTTGGTTCCTTCAGGGCCTGAACGAGATTAAGGATGAAGAGGAGGCCAGGGAATCCACATTCACAAATAAGAGGTAAAGTGAATCATAGGTGAACCTGCCTAACCTTTAGGGAGTTAATGCTGCTAGGTTTATTAGACATGACAGAGGAAGCTGGAGGTGGCAGGACCACTCCATTTTTCTCTGCTTTCACCAAGTCTCGGGTTCGGATGTGGCAGTGACACCTAGGTGGTAATAGAACTGGGGAACCCCTTGTTCATGAGCCTGCTCCTGCCTTAGGCTGGGATGTCTATAGGCAGCCTTGCAGCCTTACTCTCTGCCTTCCCTCTCGCCATGCCTGACAGGCTGTTCCCTCCTTCCCTAGGCTGCCTCCATCTCCTACGTTCTGGACCCCATTTTTTTTTTGGCCCCTGTGGCTCTCCCTTCTCCAGTGACCTCATCTTTACTCTCTTGGGCCATTCCCATCAGCTCACAAACATGCTGCACAATTTCTTGTGTCTTCCAAGAGATCCTCCCTTTACTCCTTAACAACTCCAAGCTGTCACCCTGTTTATTTGCTTACCTTTATATAACAAAACTCCTCCAACTTGCCTCTTCTTGCTTTCTCCCCTATTATTCTCTCAGTCCTCTTCTCTGGATTATGCTTCTGTCTCATCACAAATTATTCTTGTCAAGGCCACAACCAACCTGTCTTGCTAAATCTATGGTCACTTCTCAGTCTTTTTTCCTACTTTGTCTTTATCTTAACTTGCCTGCTTGGTAGTAGCTAACACAGCCCATCTCTCGCTTAACACTCTCCTCACTTGGCTTCCCACTCACTGTCTTGGTTTTCTCTTAACCTTACTGGTTGTTCCTTCTCAGTCCACTCTGCTGGCTCCTCTTCTAGCACACTCTGGAGGCCAGCCTGGACTCCATCTCTCTCTGCACACTGCCTTAAACACCAACTACAGGTTCATAACTCCCAGATTTATATTGTTGGCCTCAAGTTCACCTCTGTCAACCCACCTTCTAACTATCCACACCTGAACTTCCCACAGATGTCTTGAACAAAGCAGAGCTCTTGGTTTTCACCCCCAAACCGCCTTTTTATTTTATTTTTTTAAATCATTCCGAGTTATTCCTATCTTCCTTACATCTCATATCCAGTCAATCCATCAGCAAGTCCTGCACCCCTCCCCTCAATGTATATCCCAATTCCAACTATTTTCCCCACTCCCACCTGGTCTTAATTCACCACCAGTCTTGCCTGGATTACCGAGAGCTGCATCATGTTTCTCCCTGCTTTCAGTCTTTGTTTATTTTCATTCTTTTTTTGTTTTGCATTTATCTTTATACAGAATGGGAGGGAGAGAGGGAGGAAGAGAGAGAGAAACATAGATGTGAGAGAGACATATTGACTGGTTGCCACCCACAGGCCCCCACCCAGGGCTGGGGACAAACTGCAACCCCAGGTACATGCCTTTAGTGGGAACCGAACTCCGGTATCTCCGGTCCGCAGGCTGACGCTCTAACCGCTGAGCCAAACTGGCCAGTGCTTCATTTATTTTTTGCGTAGCAGCAACACTGATCCTTTCCTTTTTCTTGGTTAAAAAAAAAACCTTGCCCTGGCCGGTTTGGCTCAGCAGTTAGAGCGTTGGCCTGCGGTCCAGAGGGACCCGGGTTCGGTTCCCGCTAAGGGCACGTACCTTGGTTGCAGTTTGTCCCTGGCCCTGGTTGGGTCGTGCGGGAGGCAGCCACTAGATTTGTCCCTTTCACATCGATGTTTCTCTCTTCCTCTCTCTCCCTCCCACTGTATCTGAACAAAAAATGGAAAAATGTCCTCAGGCGAGGATTTAAAAAAAAAAAAGAAAGAAAAATCTTGTCATTTTTCTGTTATCTTCAGTTGAATTTTTTATTTTTTTACCTTTATTTTCCTTAACATCTTTAACTGCTCTAAATCTTGGTTATTTGTATCCTTAACTAGAATGAAAACTTGGCATTATATCCCTGACATCAGAAGAATATCTTATTAATAAAAGGTGTCTGATATTTGTTGAATGCATAATTAATTATAAGATAGTGAAGGGGAGTTATTTCTTAGTTCTGGTTGATATGAGTGGAAGGTGTTAAGACTTTGAAGACATATAAGAGGAAAAATGGGCAGAGAATTGAATGAGTTTAGAAGGCGCATTGGTGGTGAAAATTATAGTGTTCCTTGTGTTCATCACAGATTTATACTGTCTGCTCCCTCAGTAGTCATCTCTCTTAGCTTCCTTCCTTAGCCAATTCCCTATGGGGACTTAAGGGCTCTTCTAGATGTTTTCTGCTCTAAGACATCCACCAATTGCCCCCAGAGAGTAGTCCCATCTCCTACTTCACAGAGGAAATACAAGTTGTTTAACTCCTTCCATCCATCTTAGGATTTCTCTGTCCTCACACCATTGTCTACAGACAACATATGCTAACTTTAAACTTGGGTAAGTTTCGTAACCTGAGCATCCATTTCTCTATTTTATTTTATTTTTTATTATTATTAGTTTTTTATCCTCACCCAAGGACATTTTTGCATTTATCTTCAGATAGAGCAGGAGGGAGAGTGGGAGGAAGAGAGAGAGAGAAACATTGATGTGAAAGGGACACATCGAGTGGCTGCCACCCACATGATCCCCACTGGGGCCGGGGACAAACTGTAACCGAGGTACGTGCCCTTAGCAGAAACCGAACCCAGGACTCTGGTCTGTGGGCTGGCACTCTAACCACTGAGCCAAACCGGCCAGGGCCATTTCTCTATTTTAAAAGGTGGGGATATTGCCATCTACTTGGGCAGTGTGTTGAGTAGAAAGCATGTTTTTATAGGACTCAGCATAGTGACTGGCACAGACTTCACTTTCCCCATTCTACAGGCTTTTACTTTTCCAAGTCCTCAGATTTGAGAAGGGAAGGGAAAGAGGCTTTTGCCTATTGGAAGGATTATCAGGCTTTTCCCATTACTATCACTTCTCTCTAATCACATTCCAGCCACTTATACATAAATAGATGAATTTAAAAGTTCTTAAAACCTTTACCTAATTTATACATTTCTTTTGTATCACTATTGTTTCACTTGTGCATTCCTTAATTCTTGCCACCTGGCTTCCACCCTACCACTCCTAAACCACTCTCTTGAAAGGCTCAGCCCACCTCTGGCATTTTCCACTATTGCCCTCCTGTAGTCTGGACCACTCACCATCTTTACCTGTTACCTTTATATTCCCTTGATAACTCTTTACCATTGTTCCCGCTGTGGCTCACATCTAGCCCCCTGTTCATTGTGTCCCACAGCTTACCTTCCTTATAGATGCATAGGGATTAGTCCTGCATTTCCAGACCCCAATTTACAGCTGCTGTTTGCTTTGCACCTGGCACCCAGACTCCTGCCCCCTAGTTGTGTACCCTCTTAAGGTTCTTTGCCTCTCTACACCTTCAAGTCTAGATCATGTTATGTCATTCCTTTGGTATAAAATGTCACTGATGTCCCACTGGTTACTGAATGCAGGGTATACTCCTTGCTGGTAGTTACACTTCTGTGAACTGGCTCAGCCAAGTGAGATTGATTTTTTTTTTTTTTTTTTTTTAATATGATTCTGCCCGGCTGGTGTGGCTCAATGGATTGAGTGTTGTCCCATGGACTGAGAGAACCTGACCAGGGCTCGATTCCTGGTCAGGGCACATGCCTGGGTTGCAGGCTCGATCCTCAGTATGGGGTGTGCAGGAGGCAGCTGATTGATGTATCTCTCTCACATCGATGTTACTGTCTCTCTCCCTAATTCTTAGTTTTGTTAGATTAGAATAGAAGTAGCAATAGAAAGGATTTATCATGCATTTCAGCTTCCAATGGTCCTCAGGCAAGGAGGAAACTTGTGCATGAGGTGAATTAATCCTCCACAGACCCTCAGAATCTCACTTGGACCCTTCTCCTTCTGTCCATAACTCCAGGCATGTGGGACTTTTCTGTTCTCTAACCTTTACCTTCATTTCTTTCAGTGTCTCATTTTCATATATTGCTTCTTGTCTGGAATGCTGTCCCCACTGCCTACCTGTAGAAATATCAGCTTGTCCCCATGGCCCTCTTTATTTTTCCCAGACCCTGTGCTTTTCCTTTCTTGTCACTCCCTTAGCAGCTCCTGGGACTCTCTGCACTTGTTTTGCCTGTGTGAATGATCTCTGTCATAGCCCAGCCATGAAATTCTTTAAGGGCAGGGTTGGTTCATAGCCAATGTAGAACATCCATGGGCTGTGCATATAGGTGCTCAGGAAATGGTGGTTACTCAAATGGCAAGCATCCTTGCTTGGTGTGAGTTATGCTGGAAACAGTGTGATCCCAACTGCCAGGTTGGGAAGTGGCTTGAGAGCTTAGGCTTCCCCTGTTCTCAGGGCTTCTCTTCCATGTGGCTGCAGGGGGTATTCTTTTCTCCTCAGCCTGGGCTGGAGGCCAAGATCAATCTTTGAGGATCATTGTCGGGGCTGCCACAAGCTGGGCAGCCTTGTTTTCCTACCTCAGACATTGCTTGGAGCCCCTACTTGATGGGGTGTGTTGACCTCACAACCAGACTAAGGCCTTAAGTGGCAGCATTGGGCCTCTGGCTTTCTGTGGATATTGTTAGGCTCTTGTGAGCCAATCGTGGCCTAGGTTGCCCAAAATGCAGCCTTGCCCCCTGCCTGCCTGCTCCATAAGCAGGATGTGTACAGACCCAATAAGTGGTCATCTACCATAAAGATAACCTGTGAGTGAGTGGGACCTTGTACTTCCTGCCCTCCTGCTACATAAACTGCTTTGACTCCAGTGGATGTTACCAGGATGGGGGTGTCCAGAAGTGAGACGTTTATTGTAGAAGGGGCATCTAAGGCCACCCTTTTTTCCTGCCTGGATTAACTTGGGTGCCATCCAGGCTGCTCCATCCCATCAGCTCACAGCTATGTATCCTGCACAGGATTCCCTACAAGATTGCGAGGAGCGGGGTGGTGAGGAAGACCCGTGAGTGGGTGCTGGAGAAGAAAGAGCGCCATAGACGTCAGGGCAAGTGAGTACCTAGGATGCTGTGGATAAAGGGACATCTTAGACACTAAAGGCTCACCTACACTTGAAGGGGGGTCCCAAAGGTACTTTGTTCTTTCTTCTGAAACTTTTATGTTCTTCCAATTATTTCTTCACAGGGAAGTCAGACCTGACACACAGTATACCGGCCGCAAGCGCAAGCCCTACTTCTAAGCAGTTAGCTGCATTGAATGGGACAACTCGGGGTCCATACAGTTGTGAGCTGTGCTATCCAGCTCAGGCATTTGCCTCTGGAAAGTTTTATATATTGAAGTACCTACTTCATCAGTTGACAAAATAGTGTTTAGAAAAGTTCTAATAGTATTTTCTTCATTAAACAAAGTTCTGAGAGCATTTTATTTTGTTGTAAAAGCAATAAACCACTTTCTGTGGCACTCTGGCATTTACCAGCTCTGTGATCCTAAACAAACTTAAGTTCCTCTGTTGGTGGGAGTTACCACTTAATTTCATGGGTCCAAATTAGGTTTAAAGAATTCAAGTGTATTAAAGCACTCTTTTAACCTACAAGGAACATAGGTCCATTTCTTTAATTTAGGCCTTGTAACGGTAGGCAGAGTTGGAAAGGATGGGCAGGATGAAATGTATCCATGCTACCCACTGGCCTGAGGCCTCTGCCCAATCTCTGGTTTCCCTATGGTCAGGAGGCATTACCCAGTCCTGGCCAGGAAATTCAGTTGGCTCAAGTATTGTCCCGATATGCCATGGTTGTGGGTTCGATCCCCAGTCACGGCACATACAAAAAAACAACCAATGAATGCACAAGTGGAACAACAAATCGATGTTTCTCCCCCTGCTCCCCTTCCTCCCCTTGTCTTTCAACTTAAAAAAAAAAAGATGGCATTATCTAGCCCACCAGTCTGGTCTGACCTTTGGCCCTGAGCTGCATTGGCAGCTGCTGACCAGCCCAGCATTTGGTTGTCTTGGGCCATCTCCTGTCTGGTCTCTAGTGGTCAGAATGGGAAGTCCTACCTATGCTGGAATATGTAGGGGACTGTCTAGAATACTTGAGGGGATCCACTGGTTGCCAGTAACTTGAGAAGTGGGAAGATCTGGGCCTTCATATAGAACAGACATCAGGCATTGAGCAGGAGCTGAGACGGTGTAGAGGGTCCAGAGGGTCTGGGGATTGAAGGCTGAGGGAGGAGGCTGGGATTCTTTTTCTTTAAGCCCCTACATCAAATTGTCACATTCACTCCCAATTCCTAAGACCATGACACTGTAATAGTAAGAAATCTAGAGCAGAGGCATGGTACAGATACAAATGTTTATTCTACATAAAAATTTCACAAAACGGAGCTGGTTGTACCAAGACCTTTGGTGAAGGGGTAGAGGAGAGGAGGGAAGTCATTAAAGAAGGCAACACGGACAGTGGTGAAGGGGTAGAGGAGAGGAGGGAAGTCATTAAAGAAGGCAACACGGACAGTGGTCAGTCACTGGACAGGAGCAAAGCTGAGGGAAGGTGGGGCTTAGACATGGCCCCATCCCCTACTGCATGCACTCGCATGCACACTCCTTGCCTGTCAACAAGGGAGAGAGGGATCTTGAAGTAAGGGCATGTTTCTGACTTGAGAGGCCCCAAGATGGTGGGGAGGGAAGTACCCCTCCCTGGCTGGCTGCTGAATACTGCATCCAAGACACCTGACATTCACGTGGCACATCAATGGGAGACAGCAAGGGCAGAATGTGACTGCAGGCCTGAAGTAACATTTGACTTCCCAGAGCACAAGAGAGCAGGGACCACTGTCCCAAACATGCAACAACACACAATGGCTTGAGGACCCAACTAAGGCCTGCTGGGGAGAATGGCTGGCCCAGGCTATGGGCTGGGGCTGAGGGGTCTGGTCTACCTCCCTAGCTCCAAGAGTGGCTGGAGACCTTGCACCAGTCAGCCTCTTCCAGAATGTTATGTGGGGTCAGGCATAGCCTGGGGGAGTGGAGAGTTGCTCTTGGGGCTCTAGGAATGTGGGGAGGTTGAGGCAGCTGAAGACCTGTTGTATTCTGCCCCTAGGTAGGGGAGGGAGCCTGGTCTTGAAAGGGCCAGCCACCTGGCCACAGCACCCTGAGCCTCCCTGGCAGTGACTGGCTGTTAGAAGCTTAGAGCTGGGCTGTCTCTCAGGGCCATACCTCCGCTAACCTGAAAAGCAGCACCATGTGGCCAGCTGGTCCCCACCCCTTAGGGGGCTGGGCTTTGGAGGACAGCTGGAGAGGACAGGGTAGATGGGTGGGTCAGTAGGAGGCAAAGTTGGGGTCCAGAGCGTTTGGATACCTGGCGAGAACTGACCCCCCAGGTCAAGAGTGGAATTACTGAAGGCAGAGGAAGGGGGAACATGGCTACCTGGGCAGCTCTGCCTGGGAAGGGTGAGGCAGCCTGGGCCAGGGCCTGAGTCTGTCCCTTGCCGACCCATCCCCACCCTGCTAGCTGTTTCTCAGCCTAGCTCTCCTCTGTCTCTTTTGTACAGACACACACTGTTAACAAAGATCATGCACATGACGGCTCAGGTCAGGGTGGGTATGGAGGGCCCCATGGCAAAGAAAAGAGCAGTATGGGGTGGGCAGGAGGGGGCTCTGAGCCGAAGGGAGTCAGCAGCCAGAGGGCGGCCTCCTTAGGGTGAACCATCCAGAGTGGAGAGGCAGGTGGGGTAGTTTCTATCCAAAGATACCTCCAAAGATGGAGGCAATGACAATCCCCAGGACCACACAGCAGATGATGATCATGATCTTCTTCTGCACCAGAAAACAAGAAGGAAAAGGAAAGTCTTCAGTCAAGATATGGGAGCGGCTGGGGCTGGGCAGAGCTTAGAGGCAATTGGGGCTATAAGAGAGGGCTATAATGAGGGTTGAGAGCTGGAGAGTCTGGGGGCTGAAGAGGGAAAAGGTGATGACCTGGGATGGGCCCGAAGGTGGTTATAATGAGGGACTGAAGATCTGGGAGAGGTGGATGAGGCTGTAGTAAGAGCTGAGAGGTGGGACAGAAGCAGAGTGGAGCGGGAGCTGTAATCACCGATGGGTGTGTGAAAACGTGATTGGGCAGAGTTGGGGCTACTGACCCGGCGCGCCTTGCTCTGGTACTTAACGGCCTTCTTAGTGTCAGACACGGCCCTCTCCACATAGTCCACCGACTGCTCCACGTTGTACTCGATCCTGTCAATCATCTCCCCCTGCAGGGCCAGGGGAATCCGAGCTCCAGAGGGCCCTCCTCCAGGTCAGGATTGGGTTTGGGGCAGGACTTCAGGAAAATGCCCTGAGGTTAGAGAGAAAAGGAGTGTGAGGAGGATGGGGTACCTGTGCCCCACGGGCCAGGCGTCCCTGACAGTTCCGGCCTCTCCCTGCAGAGCAGCCATCCTGGGGAGGGAACTGGCCATGCAGTCTCAGCCAAGGGAGTGAGGACCATGCAAAGAATGCTCAGCTGGGGCCCTGAACCTAGTGTCTGGTACAGGACAGAGGACAGTGCTGGGCAGAGGAAGGCAAGTGTAGGAGTGGGTGGGCCAGACTGTGGCCACAGCTCACAAGGTGACCACAGTAAGCCCCTATTCCATCCTCCCCGGAGCATGATGGTTTTGTCTAGCTCTGTATTTAGTCTTCAACCTTTAAGAAACACCCCCCTCCCCTGCCCCGCCAACCCTATAGCCCTCTTGGGCACTGCAGTCTGGTTCCATGCAGCCTGCAGAGGCCACTCCAACCATGATACTGTCCAAAATTCCCAGCAGCAGCTTGCTGAAAACTGACAGCTCTCAATTTAAGTCCACTGTTCCCATGGCATCCATGTCACCATAATCTCTCACTGGGATGGCAACAGCAGCATCCTCATGACCTCCCTGCTTCCTGACTCAGATCACACCACCCCTGCACTTAAGACCCTCCAATCTAGAAGAGACTTCATCTGCCAAGGCCCCTGTCTACCTCATCTTTAATTGCCCCTGTGCTCTAGTTGCATGGACCACCTTTCTGCTCCTCAAATATGTCAGGACCATGGTGTTGCTGGTCCCTCTGCCTGGGCTAGCTCTTTATTCTCCTCTGGGATGTCCCCAGAACTCAAACACCATCTCCTCAGAGAGGCCTCTAGCCACCCCATCCAAAGTGGCCTCCACTGTGCTGTATCAAAATGGTATTCCGCCCTGGCTGGTTTGGCTCAGCGGTTAGAGCGTTGGCCTGCGGTCCTGAGAGACCCGGGTTCGGTTCCCGCTAAGGGCGCGTACCTTGGTTGCAGTTTGGCCCTGGCCCTGGTCGGTCGTGCGGGTGGCAGCCACTCGATGTGTTCCTTTCACATCAATGTTTCTCTCTCTCTCTGTTCCTCTCTCTCCCTCCCACTCTACCAAAAAAAAAAAAAATGGAAAAATGTCCTCGGGTGAGGATAAAAAAAAAAGAAAAATGGTATTCCAAGTGTGACCCTTGGACTAGTAGCATCAGCATCACCCTTGAGCATGTTAGAAATGCAAATTCATGGACTCCTACCCTGAACTATTGATCTCTGTGAATGGGGATTGGAACAGGGAAACTTACAAGCCCTCCAAGTGATTCTTGGGCACTTTCAAGTTTGAGAACCACTGTTCTTTCACCATGCTGCTTTCTAACATTTCCTGAGCACTTGGTGAAACTGGAGAATATTCCAGTTGTCATTTACTTTTGCTGTTCTTCATCCAACAGACATTAGCTCCAGGAAGCAGGCCCTCAGCTGTCCTGGTCACTGCTGTACCTCCAGCTCCTATAAAAATGCCCATCCACAGTGCCTACATGACAAACACCTAGTGGATAAGACAGGACAAAGTGGGTAGGGCCATGCAGGGCCTGGGGTCCTGGAGGGCCAAGCAGAGCCATGCAGCACCTGGGGCCTGGTGGCTGAGCCATGCAGGGGGGCCTTTAGGTGAGTGAGGCCCTGGAGGCAATTTCAATAGCAGGTGGTTAGTTACCTGAAGACTCAGTCCCTCCCAGGCAGGGCAGCATGTTGGGCAGAAAGGGGAGGGTTAGTGCAGCCCTGGGTGCTGCCATGGGCTGAGGGGCAGGGCAGTGGGGCCCCAGGTGCTCACCTGGCTCTCCACAAGCATGGCCATGTCCATGAACATGTCGTGCAGTTCACGGATGCTGTTCTCCAGCTTAATGATCTCACTGTGCCGTGTCTCAATCTCACTCAAGGCCTGCTTAGAAATGCTGGAGTCCATGATGATCTAGGAATCGGAGCAGTGGGCTGGGACCCAGGCACTTGCTGAAGGGGGTTGGGGGTGGGGAACAGGACAGCAGGAGGCCAACTGCAAAAGTAGCTGGGATGGGCAGTGGCCTGCACAGAATGTTCTGGAAGGAGGGCCTGAGGCTTCTTCCTCAGCTGCAACCCTCCCCCTACTTTCTGCTCAGCTCTTACTAGCTGTTACCTAACTTCTCAGAGGCCTGATTTTCTACCTGTAATATGGG